CCCCCCTTCCCCCCCAGATGGTGCTGTCCTCGTTCAAACACGGGCTGCTCAGCCGCTGGTGGCTAGGGCAGGTCAATGTGGTGCGCTGGGAGGGTGTGTTTCGCTGTCTCCCCATCTGTGGGATGGCCTTCGCCTGTCAGTCGTAAGTACTCCTCCCGCCCCGCTACCTGCACAGGACCATGTAATGTCAAATAAGAATATAAGCAGTTCTAAAGTTGGAAGCTTTTTGATTCAGAGTAAGGAAAATCTAATAGTAGTCCTAAAACTGTGGGCTTTTTCACACAGTGACAGAGTAAATTGAATCTTTCATTGCTGCATGTTGAAACTGAGCAAATGTCACAATTAGTGCATGTATATTTACAGCACATCATTCTGTCAAGCCACAGTGGAGGGGGTCATGGTGAGTTTGGCATGAAGGAGAGACAGATTTGTTGTCAGTAATGGGTTTCTAGCTGCAAAGGGAGGTTGCTTAATTTGCTGATGTACTTTGCACAGGCAGCTCATCTGATACTGCTCCATCATGTGGTCTGTCCTCTCTAGGATTAACCTGAGGCTTAAACTGCTTTTTGTTCACGCTTCCACTTTTTAATGTTACAAAAACAACAATTTCAAGTTGCTGCAAAAAAGTCAAATTTGATAACATGTAGACAAGTGTTGGCTAAAAAGAAAGGAGAGTAAAAACATTTAGGCAAACCTCTGTCCAGTTTGCTTAAAGCTACAGTATGTAACTTAAGGTAGCATAGCATGAAACTTCAGATCAAATGCCCTCGGCTCCACCCAGCACTCCCTCTCCCTGCTCCACTATGCTCTATCACCCTCCACCATGCTTTGCCCAACTCTTTAGATATTTGTCATTATGAAATTACAATAAATGAGAATGCAACACAACTTGCTGATCAAGCAGAAATAATTAAAAATCTCTGATCACAGAGGTTAGTCCTGCTCAAAACCTTTAGAAGCTAATATCTCTGCGCTGCTGCCAGTGCTGTTCAATGGGTTTGGGTAACAGGAGGCTTCGACAGCACCTCTCCACATAAAGACAATTTTTAGAGCAGATTTCTACAACAAAAATATTTGAAACAAGTTACACAGTGTAGCTTTAATATACATGGACCTAGCTGATATGGCAGCTCCTGTATGTGCACTGAAATACCTTTATTGCCTTATAGTAAGAAGGGTTTTTCATCAGTCTTTGCATTCCATTAACCTTCCCCACAGTGACTTCAGAGATCACACTTTTACTTGTCACCTCTCAGAGTTACAGTAACCACAAATTTCTCCATCGTCACCCACCTGCATGCTCTGTCACTGCCTCTTTTGCCCTGTCCTCTACACTTTAGTGCTTGCCCTGGGTTTGCATTTAGTTGAGTTGATGAAAAGGGATGAGTGCATGAGTCTTCGATCTGAATGCAGCGGAAGGATGCTTGGAAGTGTTACTGTGAGGTCATTAGGGGCCAGATGTTTGGGTGGTGGTGGTGGTGGTGGTGGTGGTGGTGGTGTATGGGTTTGTTTGTGAGACAGAGTGAGCTAAGTGGCAGGAGTGGGTGACTGTAGCCTTGAGACTGAAACGAGACTTTAATTAATGTAATCGCGCAAAGCCAACATGACATTATAGTATGGTGGGACGTGCACATCAGCAAGTGAGGTAAAGAAGACGAAAGTGCGCTCATGTGTGTTGTGTGTGTCGGTTCCCACTAGCAGTGCTGAGTGATATTTGGCAGGATGATTTCTTGGCCTGCGGTCAGGCCAAGCGAGGCAAGCGCTCTGTTAGGCGGCAGGCAGTTTAAGCCAAACCACTAATCAACACATTGGACTGCCGCCATCTTACAGACACACTGATGTATTCACAGGCTGATTAAACAGCTCTCAGCACATTGGATTTTTATTACATTCGTGAAATGTGTTTACTTTCAGTTAAAACATTACTTAACATCACCATTATGACAGGATGGGAGCTGGCCCTGTTGTTGTCTGGCTGCATGTTGAGGAACCGTTAGCTCATAATAGTGGGACATAAGAAAAATGTGCAGTGAAAATGTCCCTCTGTGATGCTACTGTCAGCATGCTTTCAACTCCAAGTTAATTATATTATCTACAGCACCAAACGTAGCCCTCCCAACACACACACTTTCTCCTCATTCACATTTGTAAGAGCTTCTCCATCATATTTACTTCGTTTAAGGGCAGTGTTCAAGCAAATAAAAACACATTAGCCTCTGAGTCAGGACTATTGAGTGACCATTAGATGCTTTAGGTCCCCACTTACAATATGCCATTTTATTTAACCTTGGCTACGAGATTTACTAGTTCACGGATTAAACAAGCGTCAAGGAATAGCACCACGGGGCAGTGCTTGCTCATAAAACCAGAGTGTGTGAAAGAGAGCGAGGCAAAAGAGAGCTCAAGAAGCAGAGACAGTTATGGTTTCTTGCTCTCTCTCACTCTCATGTCTCCTCTCTCCCTTTCTTCCTTTCACACACACACACACACACACACACATATATATATATGTGTATATGAGAGAAAGAAAGAGAGGAGGCAAGTACAAAGACTCTGCCAGAAAAGTTTACAAGGCTCTAAAATCTGCCAGGCACTTGCTGGTATATATGTATGTAAAGCCTGTAAATTCACTGGTTATTGTGCCGATGGTCCCCGCCACACTCTCATAATGCACTGAACAGAAGATGACAGGGGCCCATGCCTGGGTTCAGCTTCAGCCAGCCTTGGCTATTGTCAACCATTCTATACCCCCCCTACACACACACACACACACACACACACACACACTGTATGCAGTGACTTCTACATGCTACACCCCCACTGCCATGACATTACTTCCATCTAGTGCCATTTTATAAACAAGTGACATTTATGCTGCAGTTCATATGAAACAATTCCTCGTGTAAAAACCTGTTGCATTCATGTGAATGTCCGATAAAGTTATAGACAACTTGTATGTTGATGTTTTACAGTGATATGATATGGTGAGACTTTGGTGCCCATTTGTGCAATCAGTTAATGAATCAAAGAGTAAAACAACACATAAGTGAGAGGGGAAAAATCATAAGAAAAATGAATACATTAGCAAGAGGGCAACAAATATTTAGCTAACATTTCTGTTAACCTTTTTTCATTTGTAGTGGGAGCTGGCATATTACAGCCAGTCATTTCGTTTCTGTTAGCACTTCTGCCAAGGGTTTTTTTTTTTTTTGTTTTTTTTTGCAGGCAGGCATTTGTTTGTTTATTAACAGCATAACTTGAAAAGTAATTTTGTTGACTTTTTTTAGTAGAGGTAGGATATGGCCCGTAGAAAAACTTCTTAGATTTTGATGCTGATCAGTCATATAATTTGGATACAGGATTTATTCACCATTGTGAGTGCCGCTCACTGTTTGTGAGCCCCCTTGTCACCAATGTGCGCCGATGAGCACTGGAGTGAAGACGAGAGCAGGTAGTAAGTGTAGTATGTCTTGTGCGCATCTATGAAGAGCAGTTAAGTACACATTACTATGTCAGTATGCATGGGACATTTGTTTAGTCATTTGTGGCATTTACTCTTTGCTCATGTGGCTTGTTCATGTTGCTAAAGGTAGCTAACATGCAGTCTCCGAGTCCTGTCTAGTTAGATTAGTTATTGGTCAAAACTGGCTGCTCTGTTTCTTATCACTTACTGTAGAGGCCCACAGTCTTCAGTGTGATGTCTTAGTCTCTCAAAAAAAAAAAAGAAGTCCGTAAGATATACCTAATTTTGATTGCACTTGTCTGACTTTTAAACACGATGTTTTAGGTAGTGAATTGCTTTCAATGGAAAACTGTATGTATTCAAATACCGACATTAATGTGCTGACATGAAAGACCTTAGAATGAGTCAAACAAGACATCTGACTACAATTCAGCAGATAACAGAAATTTTTATATGTTGCTGAGGAGACTGCCTTACAGTGTTTGATCTCAGGCTAAAAAAAATCAAAGTAACTTGTCTGATTTGGATGCTGATTAAGTGCATGATGAGAGTGATGTGGCACAAACAGGCCTCCATATGGCTGCTTATTTTATAAATGTACAAAGCAGCTTCCAGTACCAGATTTGAATTATGTAGCCTATCACATTGTCTGCTGTCTGAGCAGAAAAAAGACAACTCATCCGATTAAGGTAGCATCTATGGGCCTACTGTCTTTGACCTTCCTGCCAGACTTGGAACAGTGAAGTGTCACTTTCCGTTGCAAAGATTGTATGTCCAATAATTCAGACAACACATGAATGCAAAACAGTCATAGCGGAATGGTTTAGAGTCACACAATGTGCAGAGTACGTTTTTGGGCTGCTTGTCTTTTACAGGCAGGTGTTGCCGACCTACGACAGTCTGGAAGAGCCATCTGTAAAACGCATGAGCACCATCTTCACCTCGGCCCTCAACGTAGTCACCATCTTCTACATCACTGTGAGTTGAAATGCCATCGCCATTCACACCAGATCATCACAGCTGTCACATGGAAACCTTGCGATTTTGTAATATCACAGTGTGTCTGCTTACCCTGATCTTTTTAAGGCATCTTCAGATCAGTGCCTATAAAGTTAATGAATGCTGACAGTTACTATTTTAATGTCTTAGTGATTAGGTTTGACAATCTATGCATTAGTGTCAGTGATAAAATTGGTCTTTTATTCATTAAAACTGAGTCTTAAAAGGTGACAGCACAGCAAATGTCGTATGCATGTGCCCACAGTTTGATTTAGAAAACAATGAGGAACTTGCCCAGTTTAAAATAAAATTTAAAAACAACTTCTATGCACTCATTTTTCCCTTGTTTTGCTTTCTTGTCAACCCTGTGTCTGATTCTGTTCACTCCTCTCTTAACCAGGTGGGGTTCTTTGGCTACGTCAGCTTTACAGAAAACATTGAGGGCAACGTGCTGATGAACTTCCCGTCCAACCTGGTGACGGAGATCATCCGCGTTGGCTTTATGATGTCTGTGGCTGTGGGGTTCCCTATGATGATCCTGCCCTGCCGCCAGGCCATCAACACCATGCTTTTTGAGCAGCAGGTGAGTTCAAATACAACTCATACACTTCTGCATGTGTTCTGAGGACGGTTTACATTCTTCTAACACCAGAAATATCTTATGTGGTTACATAGCCAACAGGAAATTATTACTTAAAGCTACAGTATGTAACTTAAGGTAGCACGAACATGAAACTCCAAATCAACCCACTCTGCTCCACCCAGCACTCCCTCTCCCTGCTCCACTGTGCTCTACTACGATCTGCTACACTCCGCCACGTGATGTCCAGCTCTTCAGATATTTGTCATTATGAAATTACAATAAAAGAGAAGGCAGTACAACTTGCTGATCAAGCAGAAATAATTAAAAATCTTTGGTTACAGAGGTCAGTCTGGCCCAAAACCTTTAGAAGCTAATAGCTCTGCGCTGCTGCCAGTGCTGTTCAATGAGTCTGGGTCAGAGGAGACTTCGACAGCACCTCTCCACATAAAGACAAGTTTTGGAGCAGATTTCTACAACAAAAATATTTGAAACAAGTTACACAGTGTAGCTTTAAGTCAGTATTTTTAAGTCTGAATAATGTATAGTAGAGGGATAACCACCTTTGGATTAAATTCAATACATCTCCTAATCTTTATATTTTACACTTGAACTTATCATTGTGGCTCTGGTATACCCTTGCATCCTCTCTATAGTGCTGTTTGACATTAATAAAAACAGAAATGTTTTGCTCCATGTAAACAGAGCACCCTGGAAACACCTGCTGTTTACCTTAACTGCAGCAACTATTGAATTTTTTTATCATCCCCAGATGTAAACACATCTGACTTGTAAAACTGTGATATGGATTTATTTCTTTAGCGGTATTCCCAGCATACTCATGTTTTTCATGTTCAGAACTGCACCATTTGTCGCCATTGTTTTTTTATCCTCCTGCAGAACTGGAAGTCTTGCTAAAGTGTTTCTTTTTTGGGGTGGAAATGATCCTGGCATTGTGCACAGTGCTCAAGATACTATGCACGCTGTCTGGTGTGTATCATCAAGACAGAAAACTTGTGTCCTGCCCAAAAGAAATAGAATTGTAAATTTGAGATTGGTTACACTCGGTGCTTGTTTTTTTTTTTCTTGTTCCTTTTTTCCTTCTTTCTTCTCTTTCTCATTTGTCTGTTTCCGTGTTGCAGCAGAAGGATGGGACATTTGCTGCCGGAGGATACATGCCTCCTCTGCGCTTCAAGATGATCACCCTCTGCATTGTGTTTGGCACCATGCTGGGAGGCATTCTCATCCCCAACGGTACATCATGTGTGTGAATAATTAGGCATGGATTGAAACTGTATGCCTTCACATGTGTGCAGCTCCCTGACTTGAGGTCTTTAAGGTGCATGCGTTCCTTTATGTGGGCGGAGTAGCTGGGGAGCTTTACGACGTGTGTGAAAGTGACTTTACGAGTCAGTGACTGTCACACTCTAACGCAGTCCTTAAATCAGACCCCTAACTTTTATCTCCTCTTAGATGGGCAGACAGGAAGAAAGGGCTGTTTTTCTCTCTCTCTATCTCTCTCTCTCACACTCACACACACACACACAAGTCCATGTACACACCAGTATTGTCTCTCTGTCAGGTTCTTTAGAGTCTGTTCGCCCCTCTCACAAATGTGCTCCAAAATGGTGGCGATAGCAGGAGTTGATGTTTTATTCATCCTTTTATATGGTGGCTGTTTGTTAAACTTTTGATTGGGCAGACAGACACACATGCAGAGCAGGTTTGGCTGGCTCTTTGTGTATCTAATCAGACTAATAGACTGAGGCGAAGGGAGGTAAGGACCCTGGGGAGAATGGACACTAAATCTGAGGGAGACAATATGGCATCCGTCGTCTGGATGAACGATGGGTTTCCGGGCCTGATGCCCAGCCAGTCCGGTCCACAGAGACGGGCAGGGCCAGGACTCGCTGCTGCCAGGAGCAGGGTGGCATGGATGGGGGAGCCTGCATAGGGCTGGGTGGGTGGCAGGTATGAATGAAGCTAGCGATAAGAGGCATAGATCTGAGGAATTTCTTGGATTATTTTGTTTTAGGAGAAACGATAGGACACATTGTTCACAGCGCTACATAAACCCCTCAGCTCTGGCAGCAGTGGTGTCATGTTTAGCCCCACATCCTTATCAGATAAACTTAAATATTTTTTAATCACCCCCATCATTTTCCATGTGTATTCATTTCTATTTATTTCAATGTAGATGCTAAGTCACTTTTACAAGAAGTGAGTATATAATTTTTCAGACACCTTATAGTTGGTGTTGAGGTCATTTAGGTGCAATTGTACTGTGACCACTTGGAGTTGCACAAGCTGGATCTTTTGACCATATTTGCATTACTTTTATTGAAGTATTTCAATAGTTTATCCTTTTAAATACTTATTTACACTTACTGTATTACTTTTAGCAAATTATTTAGACTTTTGCATTACTTTGAACTCATTATTTGAATTGTTTATGCACTACTGTAATTTAATTATATTAATTGTTTATCTATTGCTTTCTGGTAACTGTTTCCAGTGTTTATTCATTAATTTTTGGTTATTATTTCATGTTTATTTACCTTGACAAGTGTAGAAGAATTACTAAGGAAAATCACAGTGTGTTTTTTTTTTTTTTTTTTTTTGCACTGCTCCTTTGTCTTTAGTGGAAACCATTCTGGGTCTGACTGGAGCCACCATGGGCAGCCTCATCTGTTTCATATGTCCCGCTCTCATCTACAGGAAAATCCATAAGAATGGCATCATTTCTCAGGTTACATTGTCATGTCTGGTGCTTTCCTAGTCATTTGCTCAGGGACAGTATGTTCGTTTACTGTTTCTGACCAACTATGCTTTCCCTGTTTCTCTCTATCCTGTAGCTGGTGCTTTGTGTGGGTCTGGGCATCCTGCTGATCAGCACCTTTACCACCCTCTCAATTTCGGCCAGTAGCCACATCAAGGGCCGATCCCATCCTCCTCCAGCACCTGTCAAGAACAACCCGCAACTACCTGGCGTGGCTGAAGTGCATGGTAGGGATAATGATATTTGGTAATAGTTGGCAATCACTTATCTACTTGATGAACTGTAGAGGAAAGTGGTTTACTAATAAGCCATGAAAACATTTGCCTCAGTGGGCCAGATCCATAGTCGTCTGTAGCGTCTGAGATTGGACAGCAAATGGTAAATGGACTGTATTTATATAGCGCTTTTATGCACTGGCCAAAGCGCTTTACAGGGAGATGATACACCATTCACCCATTCACACACACATTCACACACTGATGATGACAGGCTGCCACACAACGGTGCTAGTCAAGCCACCGGGAGCAATTTGGGGTTCAGTGTCTTGCTCAGGGGAGACCGGGAGTGGAACCACCATCTTGCTGGTCAGAAGACCTCGTGAGCCACAGCCACCCCAAGCAGTGCTCTGGCAGCACAGTGGCAGACGTTTATTTCCTGTTTTATTTTTAAAGCCATGACTGCATCACCGTAACGGAGCAGCGTAAGGAAAATGTGAGCTAGGAGCAAAGTGCCAGGGAGACAGAAACAAAAGCACAAAGCCACACCAAAAGAAAGGGTTCCCTTCATCTGTGTGAAAAGAAAAGATGGAGACAGGCAGAGTGACTCGCAGACAGGCAGGGTGAAGAGATAACCCCTTGATAATATCTGGGAGCAGCACTGAGTGCTTGACATTGATGGAGCGAGAGAGTGATGCCCTTCAAACTCCAGCAATTTCTCTCCACCCCTCTACCCCTGCTCACCCCCTACCCCCCCAAAAAATACAATGTGTACAGCCCTGTCTTCCCCCATATCTCCTGTGGCAGCTATAAAATGCCTGCAAGCCCTGGCTGTATAAAAGGAAGGGGTGATATGGGTTGAGGGATGCAGACAAAACAAAAGGAGATGAGATGTTAAAGAGATCAGTGAGTTAATATTCTCAGCTTTAGGGTGAAACAGGAGGCACCTTTCAATTTCACTTCCTCTCCTTTACCCTGTGGTTTTTAACCTGTTCACTGATCACAGGAACATATTTGTCTCCATCTTTTGCTCTTTTCTTTTTGAATCCTTGTTTAACTTCACTGCATTTTTTTTCTTCTTGTTTTTGCTCCACATGAAGCTCAACACCTTTTCTGATTGTTGGTTTTAATTTTAACTCCTCTTTATCTTTTCTCTCTTTCTCCTTTATTGTACCATACCCATAGTGTCAGTCCTGCCATTGTCAGTATTTGCTGCCATCTAGTGGACCTAGTCATCAGAAATCAGCTGAAAATCAGTTACAGCTGAGTGTATCGGGTTACACAGTCTACATGAGACATTCCTAGGTGTTATTTTATTTTAATGCCTGCAATGACTGCCTGAAATGTCTTCTACCTAAAATTACATCCAGATGCCGCCTTCTAAGTTTTTTCAGCATACTGTGACCTGGATGACTGAGAATTTGCACAGACATTTAATGCCTGCTGTTAATGTGTACAGTAAACGGCACTGGACAAGAAAATAAAGAGTAGACGTCAGGGCTAGTAACTGGAATATAGTAATTTAACTTTTCTCAGACAAGAAATGCTCAAATAAATGTGGTGTCAAAATGAATCCTTTCTTATTTTAGTTAAGGTAAGGGGCGTTGTATTTCTTAGACTACATAGTTTGGCTCTGATAGAAACTGCAGCAAAGGCACCTAAAAAGCTAAACAGTAGCAATACTAAAAAAGAGAGATTCCTAGCATGAAAAAAGTTATTTTATGGGTGTACAGTGGGTACGGAAAGTATTCAGACCCCCTTAAATTTTTCACTCTTTGTTATATTGCAGCCATATGCTAAAATCATTTAAGTTCATTTTTTTCCTCATTAATGTACACACACCACCCCATATTGACAGAAAAACACAGAATTTTTGACATTTTTGCAGATTTATTAAAAAAGAAAAACTGAAATATCACATGGTCATAAGTATTCAGCCCCTTTGCTCAGTATTTAGTAGAAGCACCTTTGGAGCTAATACAGCCATGAGTCTTTTTGGGAATGAAAGAGTGAAAAATTTAAGGGGGTCTGAATACTTTCCATACCCACTGTATAAACCTTTAACTTGTTTAGTTGTTTTCCCTAAAGGGTCTTAGGAATCGGTTGGATATTTTACATAAAGGATGTAATCCAGTAGCAGTAGCCTGTGTTGTAATAGATTTTGTTATGTGTGTGTGTCTGCATATAGACTCGACTCCAAACCAGAAGCCAGTGGAGATAGAAAAACCTGACCTCCCAAGGGCTGCGGAGGTAGTGGAGTCTGTGCAGAGGAACCAGGCTGAGCCCCCGCCGATTAAAGGACCAGTAGAATCACCCGAGCTAACCGAGAGGAAGAAGGAAGAGGAGGTGCAGTTGGACCGTCCCGATGCTGCCGGTAAGGAAACTGAATCATAGCTGGAATCTTTGCTGGATGTTGAGCTCTGTAGACTTAGTGACCTTTTGTCTGTTCACCCAGGCGGTGTAGTGCCAGAGGTGGAGGCCCATCGCCACGAACCCCCCATCCCTCATGAGAAGGTCATGGTAGACACAAGAAAGAATAATGCTGAGAAACAAATAGCTGGAGGGGGAGAGGAAGAATCCAACAGAGATGAAGAGCACGGGCATGCTATGAAAATTGAGGACAAGAAGGATAAAGAGAAACTGAAGCCTGCAGAGGGTGCTGGGGGGGAAGAAGTGATTTTGGTTGAAGGTGAAGGCCTGCCCAGTGAGGTGCTGGAGAAATCAGATAAAAAGCAGGATGTTCCTCCACTAAATAAAGTGGAGGTGCTTGATCCTGCAGAGAATGTAGCCGATCAGGGTGCAGCAGTGCAGGTAGACAAAGTGGACAGGGCTCCAGATCCTGCAAGAAGACGTGAGTATTTGTCACAGTTCTTGTTTTACTGTAGGGTAAGGCATTTGGGAAAAGACAGATATAGGGTAACACTAACTGTGTGACAACTTCCAGAAGGAGAGCATCGTGGTGCTTCAGACGAGGCCCTAGCTGCAGATAACAAAGACACAGTAGATGAGAAGATGAATGGTATGTAGACCAGAAAGTGTTTAAGTCGATGGGAATAAACATGGGTTTTACTTGGCAGTGAATTCTGTGACATGCTCTGGAAGATGAAACATATCTAGCACCCTAAAACAAGTTGCACTGAAGAGCAACTTTGGGATTTGGTTGATACATTTTTCATTATTTGTAATCCAAACTATAGTGACATAAAAATATTATTGTTCAGCTAAGTTGGGACACATTTAGTAGCAGCATTCAGCAATTACACAGCTATAGAAAAACTGGCTGTATGAAGGTGGTGGAGGTGCCAGTCTCTCTAGCCTGTGAAATACAGTTCTTTATTGATATTAAGGTGTAGTACGCAGTTGTATTATAACAGAATTTGAAGGGGTTTGCTGCAGTCTGTTTACACACCTGCTTCGCTTTTCCTCATCTCACTTTGCTTGTTTTACCTTATGTAATCTCTTCTCTAACCTGAGCAGTGTCTTTTTTTAGTTCTTGACCTGGCCTGATCGTTTTAGCTGAAATAGTTTGGGCTTTTGTTGACTCTTTCTCTGTTGTCTACTTTTCCCTCTCTCTCCATCTCCATTTTGACCCCTTTTTCTTCCTTTCTCTGATGGATTCCTATCACAGTGATAAAAAAGCTGGTTGCAGGTATGAACTCCCTCTTGCCTTATCTTCTCTTTAGCTTGGAGTCATTTATCTATTTATAGGTATTCATATAGTACTTTGTTTTTATTCTATAACTAAATGATGCACCTGTGTTGAATCCACCCGCTCATCTTATCTTCTAACATAGTTCATATATGTCTACAGCTGCCCATTACTGCGCGTTCCAGTTTACATTTAAGGCTACAATCCCAAGATGTGTGTTTGAATTAATCTATAAATACTTTGGTCCTCTCTTACATAGAGCCTGGTCCCACATCAGTCTAACTATGCTTCTCACAGATCCCTAACAAAAGCCTCAGAGCAGGTTGTGACTTGTTCTAATTCACTGTTTGTGTTTGCATGCAGAAGGCCAGATTGACCATGCGGTGCTGCTGCAGGTGATTAAGGAGCAACAGGAGCAACAGAAAAGGCTTCTAGACCAGCAGGAAAAACTCTTGGCTGTCATAGAAGAGCAACATAAGGAAATCCACCAGATACAGCCTGCTGGTGCGTATGCACATGATGCTGTGCAGAGAGCACAGATAACATAGGCGGTAGGGTTCAGTTTAAAAGAAATGTGACAAAGTGTTTATAATTTAAAGGGGCTGTTGCTGAAGGCGAGGCAGAGAAGGGCATCCCGGAACACTTGGATGTGATTGAAGGTGGAGCAGCAAAGCCCAAAGACCCTGGCCTGGACTTGAAGCAGCCGAAGGAGGGAGCTGGCATTCCAAAGGATGTAGGGCCTGAGCCTCATGCTGTGGCCCAGCATCAAGCTCAGGGAGGGGATGGGGTTGCTGAAGCAGCTGTTGTACCTGCTTACAAGGAGGATGGCCACATTGCACCTGGAGAAGAATCTCCTGAACAGAATGAGCTTGGGGCAAGGGGAGTGCCACTGGGGAAGAAAGCACTGGATGACAGTCAGTCTGTGCCACAAAATAATCAGGCAGATAAAGATGAAGAAAGAAGCTTAGATAAGAAACAAAAGAAAACTGAAAATGTTAAAACACAACAGATTAAGAATGACATTCAGGCAAAACTGGAAAAAGAGCAACTTGAGAAGGAGATGCAGGAAAAGCTGGCCAGAGTGCAAGAATTAGAAAAGGAAAGATTAAATAGAGAAAGGATAGAGAAAGAAGTGCTGGCAAGACAGGAAAAAGAGCGACTGGAAAGAGAAAAGTTGGCCAGAGAGCAGGAGCTGGAGAAGAAAAGAGAAGAGAGAGAAAGGATAGATAAAGAGGTGCAAGAAAGGTTAGAAAAAGAACTGCAGGAGAGGGAAAGACAGGAAAAGGTGGCCAGAGAACAGGAGCTGGAGAAAGAGCAAGCAGAGAAAGTGAAAGTGGCACAGGAAAAAGCTGCAGATGAGAGACTGCAGCAGGAGATCCAGAAAGCAAACGATGAAACACTTGAGAGAGGTGCACAGGGGGTTGAGAGGGAAGATGGTGAAGCTTTGAAGAATGGAGGACGAGACCTCAAACAGAAAGCTGCTGCTCAGCTGGACTCCAGAGAAGGTGTGGTAGACGGGGCCGTCAAAGCCGAGGCTCAGCCTCAGGGTTCCCATGAGAAAGTCAGGGACCAGGGGGAGACGGATCTAAGGCGGCGGCGCAGGGCAGTGGGAAGCAGAGAAACTGGAATGCCCCTGAAGAAGACTGATAGTTCCAAGAGGGTTCCTGGGTTGGAGCCCCTGCTGGACCTAGGAGGCTCAGACCTGCACGCTGCCCTGGAGGAGCAGCTGCTGGCAGGGGCAATGGTGCACTCACGGCAGATTAAACAGGCCTCAGAGGATGGAGGAGTAAAATAACAGACAGATTCTCACTCAGTGAATTGACAGTAAGTTCAAACATAACCTGCATATACAGAACCTCCTCACACTGTGGACCATATCATTGCCTTAACTCTCTGTTGCCTTCATAAAACATATAGACGTGTGATACTGTGTACACTGCAAATAACCTAGAGTCTTCAAGAGCAATGTGTATGTAAATATTAAATTATTTTTTCTATAGGGTGGAGAATTTTACAGAGTTTACTGTTTAAGTGTATATAAATCTATGCAAATACTGTTCTATGGAGTGTTTTTACAGGACATACATCTCGTGGATTTGATTCCAGTTCCTTTTCACCTCATGTTTTGTAAGATCTGTTTGTTTTACTTCTCTGCAGGTTTTTTGGTCAGCTTGTGTTTGTCTGTTACTTTGAGATGTAAATATTGTGAATCTGTTATTGTTTAGAGTTTCGTTGACCCTACATTTACTATATATTGGATGTAATGTGCATTCAAGCACTTTAAGCTTTGTTTCCTGGTACTTTCAAATGAAAGTAGCTTAATTCAACCAAATGCTGGTGCTACAAAGTATATAGAGTAGCCTTCATCATAATGATAAACTGTGGACAATGAGGCCACTTAATCGAGGCCGTCTGGATCCATGACTTCAGATATTAATCATTCCTTCTTCAGTATCTCTTCTTTCTTGGCTTATCAGTGCCTTCCATTCCATATACTGCAGTTGTGATGTAACAAAGCAAAATATGGTCTTTTTTTTTTTCTTCCGTAGACATATCTTTACTGTCAACAGTACAGTCATTACGATCAAATAAGATTTGCACAATGTGTAAAGGGCATTGGACAATGGAAGTAAGTCTGGATTGTGTTTGTAGTGTTTCTTAGTAATCCAGCTCCTCTTCTTGCTCCATCACTTGGCATATCAACACATACCGGACCTATCTCGCTTTGTACAAGAGGCTATATTTCTGACTATTCTTGTGTATTTCTGTACATTTTTGCGATAAGAAATAAAACATCTGCTACAAATTTGTCTGTTGGTCTTTGTTCAGACAGTTCAGAAAGATATCAGCAACGTACATTCACATCTCTGTATTACAGAATTTGATGACTCTTGCAAAATACAGGAAATAGTAATGCTGAAAAATGCATTGTTTTGATTGATGACAGGAATGTACAGTCTCAACAATGTAATTTTTAAAAAAGTGTCAGCTCATTTTTACAACCAAGTACAGTAGCAGCAGTGTACTTCCAACATTACAGGTCACTCAACACAAATTCATGTCCTCCCCCTAAGTTGATTTTATTGTTGCTCTGCTGAATTCACTCTTCTAATACAGCCAGAATGGCTCAGGCTCCATTTACTTGGCTCTTTTCTTCCCCTGTAATAAAAAATAACTTTTAAATAATGACCACTACACAATACCAGAAGGATTGCTGACATTATCACTTACTGCATTTGTAAAGCAGGTCTTCAGTGCTTCAAATTCCTTGGCACACATATCTTTCTTCAACTCCTGTCTTCCTGTTGTGGTAGCTGCCACACACTTCCCATAGGCTGCCGCCTGAATCACAAAGATTGTTAAAAGTTATCCTTTTACCCCATAACGACCCTGGATTTACAATAATTTTCTATTAATGGACATACTGGATCTGTGGTGTTAACCTTGCTACAATCCACGTGGATTCAATTTAAAGCTGTTAAGGTGGAATCATTATATGTGGGACATTTGTGCTCATTTGGGAACTTCAACAACACTGGCCTCCTATAATATGGAGCAAAGAAAATGCTCAGAGCTATTGGGGTAAGCTCTGTGTTTCGTGGCGCTACCAACTGGAATAAACACAAGTAGCACAGGCAGCTAGATGGATTGAAGTGGCCTATTTCTGAGTTCAAGACATTCACAGAATTGCAGCATAGTTTTCTTGTCGGTCCTCACCTCTCCCGAACACTGTGCAAAAAGTTCAGAAAAAAGTCGTATTTTTTCCCGACTGCGACTCCACACATTTGACCCAGACATGGTGCTTGGTGATCATGCGTTAACCTAAGTCCTTATGGTCAGCTGAAATGCGCTATAGAGAGGAGCCAATAATTCTGCCTCGCTATTTGTTGAATTATTGGCAAATCTGACACACACATATCAACTAGCGATAGCAAATGGACCATTTCTGCAAGACATGGACAGCGCCATATTGTTGACCCTGTCATCTCAGTTGGCCCTCAGGGTGTTCGGCAATGTGATTCGCTTATCTTCCTGCCAGTCAAAGTGTCAGCGCTCACTTTTCTTGAAAGTGATTCGCTATGTTTTTCAACTTAGGCGTAACCAGAACGCCAATAATCTTTAAGAGTGCTACTTTCTGCTCGCTAATTGGCTAGCTGTCACCTCGAGCCCCGCCCTCTTTTCTTTTATTTTTTATACAGCAGGAAGATGAGTAACCCGCAGACAGGATTGCTAAATCATGGCAACATTTATGGAACGATTAGCGTTTCTTCAGAAAGTAAGTACTATTTTCTGTCAGTGCTACTTACGGAAACAATTAACATCTGAGCAGAGCATTACTAATACGACGTAGCGTTAACGTGTCTGAATCTGTGAAGTTGTGGCATTTAATTGCAACTAGCCCACTAGCTAACATTATGAAGAAACACATTTGGTAAATGCTTGTCATGTTTCACTGGACAAGTCAAGTACTTTCGTCCAGTTATGCCAGTGTTTGTTTCCATGTCATAATCTGTTTCACCGTTCAACGAACTGATAAATGGGTTGTGGACCTCAACATTTAGCACAACGACTTCAACTTGTGTGATCTAGACTTTTGTCCATCATATCGTCGACCAATTTCAGGTGCCCACTCTGATGAAAGCTACAGCAGATGATGAAAACCCCTGTCCTGGCTACCTTTTCCAAGAGATTGGAAGTATCCTTTGGCAACTTCCCTGCCGGACCCTGTCACCACTGAAGTCGATGAAAATATCGTATATTGCTCACATGGCACATGCAAATACAATGCTTTAGATGACTGTTCAAAATAGCATCTGTAATCTACAAATGTGCAGAGAGGAGAGCTTAACAAGGAGAAATACTGTGAACATTATAGTTAGAATAGGCTGATTATGTCACATAGCAAAGCATTTTCATTTGAATAATTGTAGCTGTCAAATGAAGAATGAGAATTCAAACGTAAAAGGAACAACTGTTCAGTGAAAATGAATGAAAGTTTGACTGTGAATCCAAAAGCAAGTATTATATCTTTAACCACCATCACTGTAGAAATCTCCCATGAATCTTCAGGTTGTGGGCAGTGTTTGTTGGAATACCTTCTGGAGAGACTGCAGGTGGAGTCCTGTCATGTCAAACTCAAGGTGAGAGGAGTGTCATTACTAAGGCTTCTGTATGTAATATGACACAGTGCAATGGAGGTGTCATGTGCCCATAATGTGTAAAGTTGTATTGTTTGTTGTTGTCCTTTCATTCCTGTCTGTGAATAACTTCCTGCTTGTGATGCTTCAGGTGCTGAAGATTTTTGTCCATCTCTGCGGCCATGGCTCAAACGATTTCCTCACAGAACTCAGAAGGAACTCCACCTTCATCCAACAAGCATCAGGTTAGCCACTGGACACTTGTGCCTTGAGCTCCATTTAACTCTCAGGATGCAGTGGCTGCTGTGTTACATCAGTATTCACTATGTTTGCCACTGGGTGTTCTGCTCTTCAAGTTTACAGTGGCCCACCTGATCCCATCCATGGCACAGCCTTGTACCAGAAAGTGAGGAACACGGCACAGGTGAGACACAGGTTGTATTTATTTATCACATAAATCCTAAATCTGTGACATATATCATGTGACTTCTATATTCAGGAAGTGGCCAGGTTGCTTTTCACAGATACCATTTCCACTAGAAGTGGCATCTCCCCCCTCACTGATCCCCCCCCAACAATGGGTGAGTTAACAAAACATAATAATAAGCTAAATGCCCTGTACCTATGCCCAGGTGTTTTCACTTATTTTGGCTAATTAGACCTCTGCTCGGGTTTAAGTTGGGCGTACCTGTTCTGGGAAATGTGAGGTCTAGAGAAGTCTGATTAGACACAACAAGAGAAAACAGGAGTAGTAGGGTGTTTAATATGTAAGAACTAGAAATTCAGGATAGTGACATTAAAGAAGTGATGTGTTTTTTTTTTTTCATTGCACTTTTTTCTGATAAGATTTTTTTTTTAAAAGCAAAACACTTGATAAGAGGTTCATTAGCTATAGATTTGTCTGCTGTGAAAAAGGCTGATAAAAAATTCAGTTGGTTACATGTGATAATCAGTCATTGTATTTTATGAACTGAAAGCCATGATGCAAAAGGGTTTCTGTATCTTTCTGTTCAGGTATGGGCTCTTCCCACAGGTCAGGAATGCAGGGCTTTGGGTACAGTCCAGGGAGACAGGGAACAAGTGAGTGATGCAGAACTACACATGAATCAAATCGTTCTTCTGTACACATTTCTGTATCTTTATATATGTACCCATTCCACCCAGCAGGCAGTGACTCACTGCTGGATAAGATCCAGAAAGCTGCAGAGGTAGTGGTCAGTGCTGTCCTTCCTCCAACTGAGCACCAGGGCATCCGTCTCCATGACAACCATTATCGGGCCGTAGTGGCGCCATCTGCACCTATAGAGGTGGCTGTCCCTGCGTGTGCCTATAGCTTACCTGCTCACAGACCAAAAGGTGAGACATTATTGGTTGGGATGGAAATATAATCTTAGGAATAAATAGGATGTTTGAGTATCAAATATTTTGTGTGTGTGTGTGTGTGTGTGTGTGTGTGTGTGTGTGTGCGCGCGCGCGAGAGAGACAAGCTTGCACTGCATTTGAGACTTCTAAGTAAATGTTCACACCCAAACTGTCATGTGTCTTCCATTCCAGCAGTGACCCAGTGGTGCCCAGGGCAGGTTGGCGGCGGATGGGAAGAGATGGACAGCGGCAACAGCTCCTCTCACAACTCTTCTCAGGACATTGCTGCAAACAGCAGGATCTCTGTAGGCAGCAAGTCTGCTGGGACTGGAAGCCATTCAGGGGCCAGCAAAGAAAGCAGCGGGGACCTGGCAGAACGGTGCGTGGTAAATTCATCCTGCGATATGAACTATTTCTAACCTACATCATAATATAATGAGATCTGAGATTAGATTAACCTTTGAATATTTCAGGCTTCATGATTTATCTGACCTTTTAGTAGTATTATCACTTTTAATGTATGACTAATAGAACCCTTTAGGATAAGATAAGGCACATGCTCTCCATTTTTCCATATTTATTGTCATTTAGCTGTCATACACTGTCTGGTCTTCAGGGTGGAAGCCTTGCAGCTAGGGGACTGCGGCCAGGAGATGGCGCTCATCAGCAGAGTGATCGAAGGCTCCAGAGTTTTCCTGTCCAGAGAGGAGAGCCAGCACTTTATCAAAGAGTTAGTGCATCAAGATTCAGATTGAGAATACAACCTTTTGGGCTGTTTAGCCCTTTTTAATACTGTAGTATTCATCTGGTGTCTTTTTCATTTTTAACACACAATGTAGTTGCTGGGACTAAGTTAAGACCTAATTGTATTTAATCTCTCAGGTGCTCCATTCTCAACTGTGAGGTCGTGGTGGAGTTGCTCTCAAGCAAGCTTCAAGATCCTTCCAGCACTGTAAAAATGGTAACAAATTTGAGGATTTATTGAAGATAGCTTTATGATATTTTGCAGTCCTAATATACATATCTTGTTTTTCTCCAATCATGCAGCGGGCACTGTGTGCTGTTGCATGCCTCATGACCTCTGACCTCCTCTCTCTGGAGCAAATGTTTGGAGCTATGCAACGAAGACTTCACCAGCTGAGTGAGGGGCATCCAGGCCCTGAGGCAAATAAAGCCACCAAGGTAAGAGACTGAAAGGCAAAGCTGCATTTGGTAAAGACTGATGGGACAGAATTAGAAAATGCTTTTTCTTCTCAGATCTTGCGTCAGTTTGAGGCTCTGATGAGGGGACCGCTGCAAGCTACCAGGCAGGATAGGGCAAACAGTAGCCATCAGGCAACAATCAATCAGTGTTCTGCATCTACATACTCAGACCCGTTACTACCATTCCACTCTGCTGACACCATCCTCAACCATTATCAGCCTAACAACTCACCCAGCAACATTGCGCAACCATCAAATTACCCAGCTTCCACTTGTGGCTCCTCAGGACAGTTGATGAATGATAATGGGGAGGAGGAAGAGAACCTTTCTCCCATACAGCATGAGCCAGTTAGGACTGCTGAAGTTAACCTGGCTGCTGGAGAGCCAGAGCTCCTCAGAGACAGAAGCCCCACTCCTCCATGTGAGCCCCTAAGTAGACCATCCCTTTTCAGTGGTATGGAGCTGGTGACCAAGTGGAGGCCCCTGTGTGAAAGAGAAACATCCCTGACAGAGACGGACACAGTGGATGGTGACTTAAAGGAGAATCCAGCTGTGCATAACTCTAATAGTCCAGTGAACTCTTCTCCCCTTTGCATTAGTAAAACCTGTGATGGCGCTCCTTCAGTTTGCAATTCAATTACATCTGAGAGCAGCCAACCAGTATCGGCCTTCTCATTTCTCAACTTTTGACCACTGATCAACTTTTTACAGCTGGAACTGTTACTCTCAAACAATGATGTCATCATGAATGTCCTTTTAGAAATTTATTTAATATTAGAAACCGGGATCAGACTATTCTATACATGACACATTCGCATTATGTTTAGATTGTCTGTTCGGTGCCTCCTTGGAAGCTGAGGTTGAGGCCGAACTTCTCAAAAGTATTTCACGAGTATGGTTGTCTTTAAATTACAGGTTATTACTGGTGGATGCTTTATCTCAGGATTTCTTTTAGATAACAACTCCTACGCCTCTGTAGCACACCCTGAACCTCTGGGGGAGAATCCCTTGATTTGCAATTTGCACTACAATTTTTTTCTTATGAACTCATAAAACTAAAAATGAGTTGTCCACCATATTTTTGGTACTAAGCTATAATGTTAATACAGATGTTATGAGTGTTAGTGTACATATTATTTATGTCTACTCTGTACTTTTTAAAACATACCCATGAGAGTGGTTGTAGAGTGCATGTGTCAGATTTCAAAAGTATTGTATGGAAATCTAATGGAGGAAATAATTAGTGTGAAACTGGGAGTAACCTTGCGTGCGGTTGTGTTTGGCAAAATATCTGCGACTCTATGAAGTCATGTCGCCAAATAAAAGCAGATTAACTTCACTCTCTCACCAGTTATTTCAGTTACATACTAGGCTGTGTTGTTGAATACTGTGGAACATAGTACAAACTACTACGTTCCCAAATGGTAATCCAGGCTACTGGTACTTAGAATATTACAGAGAACACAGTACAAACTACTACATTCCCAAAGGGTAATCCAGGCTACTGGTACTTAGAATATTACAGCACTACTCCTACAGTTGTCTTGATGTGCGCTATTAAACTCTTAGTGTCAGTGATATTTTGCAGACATCACTTTCAGCAGAATTTTATTTCAATGTCAAATTATATGGAAAACTACAGAAAATATGAATCACTATAACTTTCACACCCCCTACTTTATTTTCAACGGTGTACTGGTCATATTACACTGTCCATAAACAAGTATGGCTGACAGGCTTATGACGCAGTCATACAGAATATGTGTAAAAAAAAAAAGAAAAAGTAAGAACCTGGCTCTAGATTTTTTTCAGAGCTTTTTCTTGGAGCCTTGTTGTCAGGAACTCTGTGCTGAATGCATTGCTGCCAGAGCTGCAGACTCCAGTGCCTTCTCTCAACTCTGTAACTTGTCAGGGTCTAATTTGAGGGTGGATTGTGGTGGTGCAGTTCAAAGAATCTCTGTTCCATTACCTTGAAACCTGTTACACCTGAATGTTCTAGAGTCAGTTAGATAGTAAAATTACCTGCAATACTACTCTACCATTTTGGTTCGAGAAAACAGGCAAGGCCTTAAGTATTCTTTAATAATTGGATTGCTTTAATAAAGCTCCTTTTGAGCAAATCTGTTCAGTCATGATCAACTTAATTTCAACTCGCACTTCAGATACACAAACATGCAGTGACGTCCCCAGTCGAGAGTTAACAGAATGAGGAGTTATTGAGTAAAGTGCTTAGCTTTATTTAGTTTTCCAAGCACTTCGGTTCATCATCACACACTGCCTGTGATTAGCACCAATGAAAATGTCCAAACATCAACGCACACATGTAAAGAGAGTGATCTCTTTATAAAGTGCACAAGGTGCATACACACATATACACATTGATACTGCACAAAAAAACACAGTGGGTGGGCCATGGACAGACAGATGTGCTTATGATCTAGACAAATGGTACATGGTGAAGTGGGGATGAGCCTGTATGGCTAAAATCTGTAAACCTCCCCACACAACAAATCCCCTTCACCCTGACCCGATTGTGTCACTTGAGGCTTTCAAAGAAGAGCCACCGTGCTGTTTGTCTTGGCACTGATAGTCGCAAGACAAAAGGTCAGGTGAGGGGTCAGTGGTCATGGTCATGTCGAGCCTGGACGCCCTCTTGTCTGCAGACTGCTAAAATGCGCCTCCCTCAGGACTCTGTTGATGTGGTCATAGGAAACACTGCTGCTGTCACCATGGCAACCACGCTGCAAGGAGCTAGCTGAGTCTTCAGGCTTTGGGCTGAGTGAGTACTGGGTGATGCGGTTGTTCTGGCTGTGTATGCAAGGCCTGGTGCTGACCACTATTGCTCTCTCTGGACTACTGATCCCATTGCTGCTGTCGCTGCTGGAAGACTGCAATCACAGAACACAGATAGGCTCTGAATAGCGGCTTCACGGATGGATGCAGTAGCTATAAACACTGCAGTGCATGAGCAAAGAGTCATGTATTTATATGCATGATGCAAGGTCACTTGCTCTATCCATACATGTCAATGATACAGAATAATGTTAGCACAAAGATGCATTACACATTCAGATGGAATCTGATCTTCAGACCACTCTTTACTCAATTTATCAATTCAGTCTCACCTCTGAATCCAAATCTGACACAAGCAGGCTGGGACCCCTTCCTGACCTCTTGGCCTGAGGACTCAGCTGTCGGTCCTTCTCACTGTCACAGCTACGACGTCGCTTCCTGTGCAAAACAGAAATAGAAGGAGATGAGACTATTGTTAAATGCACAGGATGGCAGAGTGAACATAAAAGTGAAAGAGATAGTGTGACAGAAACGAGGCAGGGAGGGGGAGAGAGATCAGGCAGAGTATCAGAAAGAGAGAAGATGAAGAGGAACCAAAAATAGCAACACACTCAGGCAGTTACATGATCAGACATGGGGCACCCCATTATGAGAACACACTGATTAACATACCATGACTGGGATCTATAAACAGCTTGGGAATACAGCATATGAATATTATAATGGCGCTGCACTGTCAGACTGAACTGCCTAGGAATTGTATTTTGATCACTGCAATGCATAATTTAGTTAAAATGTTCCATTACACTAAAGTGACACAATTATTATTATATTGTATGAAATGATGAGTCTGTATTAATAAGAACACTGGATCGTAAACATGGTTCTTGACGTTACCTGTTGTCAGTCAGCATTTCTGCGGTCTTGACAGATGATTTTTGGCAAAGAGAAAGGTTGACACTCCTTGTGAGCCGGTCTGAGATGTCTTATTTTAAAGCTTTGGCTGTGCTACAGCTCCACTGCCATTTCGCAGAAACTCAGTCTGGCAAGCTCCCTCTCATTTCATCGAGAAGTCCAGGATGTGTGAGTGAGCAATCTCCGACCGGCTGAAGCACGGGTTAGCGTAGGGAAACACAAACCGCAGTTGAGTTAGATCAACCCTGTCACTGCTCCAAATCCAGTCCGCCCTGCCTACGCCTCGACGGTGGTACAGAGTGCTGATGGACGTCTAAAAGCTAGGCAGCTAACAGCTAGGTATTCTCGTTTACGCTGTGAAATCTCGAGGAATTCTAGACATGACACTAAACGGAGCAAGCTAGCCAGCTAGTTGCTACCGTGCAACAGCTAGGCTACTTATCAAGCTAGCTAACTACTTCAGCTAACTTCTGCTGTACTGTTAACTGAAAGTTCTTCCGCTTTCGTATTCCGTTCACTCGTCGTTAACTGTTGCCTGTTCTTGACAATAATCAGACCTAAGAAACTAAAAAAGTACGTTTTAAAAAAATTAATTCGATTATAATGTCGTCCGAAATAAGTTTATATAGACTGCTGTGTCGTTAGGTGTGCCATAGAACTTGGTTGGACGTCGGTATTGCCTTAATTCAAGAGATCCACCCCTCTGTTTATCTTACGTCATCGCAATAAGTCGAACGCTACTTCCGGTGTCAACATCATGGCGAGCTTGTCGTTTAACTTGAAATATGATGCAGTGTAATCACTTTTCAGGAATAAACGAATGATTTTTTTTGTAATACGCAATTTTCTTTAAGGGTATATGTGAAATAGAGCTCTAGTTTCTTCCCAGGTAAGTTTTTACAATTTATATCTAACGAAACCGAAATCCAACTTTGTTGCCTTGTTGACGTTGTTGTTGTTATCCATTTTTGGTGAAGGGACAGGTTAATAATTACATATGTAAAAAGAAATAACTCTAAATTCATTTTCTAATTGGCGCCGGGTGATGACGTCACATCCGGTCTAGCGATTTCCTATTATTAGAAAAATGGCGGATATAAGGCTCTTGTTTGAGGCATGTGTATCCATCTTTATGTGCTAGGAAACGTGATAGAAGCAATGCCGTAAGTTCTTATATGTGCCAGTTGACATAGTATAGTTAACATTTGCTATGATTGTGTTAAAAAGAATTAGCTGTGACGTTGAGGAAGCTTATTTACAGTTGTGCATAAGCTAGCTGATACTATGCATTTGAATGTGTGTTGAAGTGTACCACCATTTATAGTATAGGTATTGGTTAAATAAGCATAACTGACACAGTTTTTATTGTATTGTTTATTTGCAGTTTTTACCGTGATGTTATATGAAGAGTGGACAGTAAATGTTTTGATCTTGCTACGACCTCTTCATTGACTACGGTTTAACTCGGTGTTAAGTCAAGAGTATCAACACGCTGCACAAGAACACTAAACCAACATTTATAAAGTCCTTTTTAACATTTACATCTGAAGGCATGATGGATTATGGATGGATTATTATGAGAACATTTTAAAAGGTTTGTTAACATTTATAATAGCTGAAAAGGTTTCCAGAACCTAAAAACAGCCCATTATAGATGTCTCTCTAATTAAATTAAGAGCAAGCTAAAAAAGAGAGTGATGCTGAATAAAAATTTGACAGAACTTGGCAACCCAAAGCTTGTTTTGTTAAAATAGTACATAATTATTAAATTATTTATTGGAGATTAGTGGAGTTATTAACTCTAACTTATAAACTCTTTTTAAGTGGCGCCTAATCAGAAAGTGGTATAATTGTTTCATCTTCACATACAAAGTTAAGTATTCTTCACAGCTGGGCTTAGATAAAACCAGGCCATAGTCTTCAGAATCAGAGTTTTATTGTATTTTAAATACAGTTTGGTTCTCAGGTAGCCAAACAAGTAGGGATGCTCCGATCCACCTTTTTTGCTTCCGATACCGATTCCAGTACCTGGGATTCAGTATTGGCCGATACAGAGTACCGATCTGATACCTAAGTAAAATTTTTATAAAGTGCTGAATTACCTAATTAACTGTATGCATCCCTGTGCAATGGATTGGGCTCTACATGAACAATGTCATAACACTGTAAAAGAAAATAAACTAACAAATTATTCATTATTAAATTATTAAAGCAGAACCAGAGTGCAAAGAGTAATTTGACATCCAAAAGCAGCTGAATAACACAACAACTTCACTAGCTTGTGCTTGACTTTCAAAATTAAAGTGCAAGGAATTTCACATCCAGTGCAAAAGCAGCTGATACGAGAGTTTGTTGCATTTATGGCACTTTGAGGTACACGACGGGACTTATTGGCGTTTCTGTCACAAAGTATCTCCAGATCGCGGATGTTCTACCTCGCTCCATGCTGTTAGCTTGAACACATGAGGACTGAGCACACCACGTGTGCAATATGCAACATGCTGCGCAATCTCAGCGCAGCGTTAACTTGCCTAGCAAAGGTTTTTTTCTCGGATCGGGGCAGTTGTCGTCGATACCCGATCTAGAATTTTATTTCATATCGATGCCGATACCCGATACGAATATCGGATCGGAGCATCCCTACAAACAAGGAACAAATTTAAAAACATCTGCATGTGATAGTAAAATCATGTTACCAGTTTCACCCTGACTGTTATGATTACGTCCCCCCGACAGATGAAGGTTATCCAACATTCCGTGGAGACACTCACGTCAGCTTTGGTCTCTGGTCGTCAGGACTTGGCTAAACTTTACAGCAAGTACACAAAAGAAGAAAGGCGACTTCTGGAATATGGATTCCACCAAGGGTCACCGGGCTCCCTTTTCCAACCCATCACAGTTCACTCTGACTCAGACTGGATCCCTGCTCACCCCGAGGAACCTCAAGACTTTGAGAGCTTCTACAGAGACCCTTACCGCAAGACTCCCAATGCAAGCCAAAATACTATTTATATTCAAACCATAGGTGAGTTTGTTTGAGTCTACACAGTGTGCACAATTATTAGGCAAGTGAGTATTTTGACCATATCATCATTTTATCCATAATTTCCAACTCCAAGCAGTATAAACTTGAACGCTTATTGGACTTAATGCATATCAGGTGATGTGTTTTAGTGTAACGAGGGAGGGTGTGGCCTAAGGAGATCAACACCCTATATCAAGGTGTGCATAATTATTAGGCAGAATGTTCTCCTCTGGAAAAATGGGCCAAAAAAGAGATTTAACTGACTCTGAAAAGTCAAAAATTGTAAAAAGTCTTTCACAGGGATGCAGCACTCTTGAAATATCTAAGATATTGGGGCGTGATCACAGAACCATCAAACATTTTATAGCAAATAGTCACCAGGGTCGCCAGAAACGTGTTGAGAAGAAAAGACGCAAATTAACCACCAGAGATTTGAGAAGAATCAAATATGAAGCTACCAGGAACCCATTATCCTCCAGTGC